TCTAATAGATATTGTTAATAAAAATGTATAATGAGTAAAATTGTTATGATTTACATACATTTTTAGATATAATTTTAAAAATATATTTAATTGATTAAAACAATTAACTTTATAATTTAACACTTTATAATTAAAAAGTCAAAACCTTCTTTAAAAAATAAGTTTCATTTGTTTTAACATTTTGAGTGTATATTTTCAAATAAATGAATTTTAATTATCAAAAATAATTTATTTTATTTATATTATAATTAGTTATAGTTTACATTTATACTTTGCATATTTTTTTAAAATTTAAATACTTAGCTCCGTTATTACGTATTGAATATATCTAACATTTAATTATTATATGATAATAACACTTTAAATTATTTGCATAAATAATTTAAAAGTTAATGAAAGGCTTGTTTTTAAATTAGTTTAATAGCAATTTTATTGGACAATCATTAGATTGTTCAAAGTTTTTATGCAAATAATATTATTATATATATACTGTATATACATATATAAATAAAAATATTATAACCAATCCTATAATATTATACAAATAATTATAATTTAATTTATGAAAATTATGATTTACATAAAGTTAAATAATAAACACAATTATTAAAATAATATTATTTAAATTAAATTGTTGATTAAAAGCAGATAAAATTATATTTGAAAGTTGTATTTAAAAAATGATAATAGTAATTTATATTTAAATCAGCAATTTTATTAATCAACATTATCTTAAATTATATTATATAATATGAACTTTTCATAAATAAATAATTTTTTAATTAATAAAAAACACTCAAAATTTTAATTAGTTATATAATAATATCATTATTGATTTAAGTTATTTAAAAACTATTTTAAAAATATATAATATAATTTAATATATATTTTTTAATTTCTTAAAATTCATATATTCATATAGGAGATATAAATTTAATATATATATATTAAGTGTACTAATATTGTATTGATATATCCAAAAAGTTATTCTATATTTATATTAAACAAGGTTCATTTTATATAAATCTATTTTTTAGAATGTTTTTTAAAATATTTTATTTAAATAATTAATTTTAAATAGTGGTTAATTGATTGATAAGTCTAAAAGTAATTAATTTAATATTAATTTTATGAATGGGAAATTTTAAAACAAGTTTATAGTACTGTATAAGCTAAAAATAAAACACTAGAGTAAATAAAAGACAAATTAACTAAATATAAATTAAAGCTTAAGATCAATAAACTCAATATTAAATTATTCAAAATAAGTTTTTTTGTGTTAATTTTCAATGAATACAATTTTAAAAATGTTTTCTCATAGTATAATACTGTATATAATAAATACAGTATTGAGTAAAAATTAAAGAAATGGTTTGAAAGTATGTTTCTCAGCAAATATAATAACATAAACGTAGTCCAAGTGGTGGGTCAGTCAGTCATAATTTGTGACTAAATTAGCGTTGAATTATAGGTCTAACCCTTTGTTAAGCTGTTGTCTCATATTATCAAACGTTTGCTATAAAATTAATTCTTCGTTTACTTTGTGTTGTTATTTAAAGTTTGGTTGAGAGAGCAGTAAGGCGTCAGTCGACTGATGTCTACCGCAATGGAGGGTATGGTTTGAGTGGCAAACCTAAGGTTAAGTGAATTCAAGGTAAATGAAAGATAAGAAAATTACGAGTTTTGCCGTCATTAACGTGATTATCAACCTAAAGACGGCCCTATTTCCGGATCTTTTTGCTCTCTCTCTCTCTCTCTCTCTCTCTCTTTATCTTAAATGAGAGGCAAATTGAGGAGAGAAAGATAGATAGATAGATAGATAGAKAGAKAGAGAGAGAGAGAGAGAGAGAGAGAGAGAGAGAGAGAAAAGGCCTCACAAAATGAATGGCAAATTACTTCAATGGAAACTATTGAACATAAAATACATGAATGGTTTGCTTCAAACAAACAATCGGCTGAAATCTCTTTGAAATAAATGACTGTTTAAATCATAAGTAGTAAAATAGTAGTGAATGAGCTGATGGATGAACAGTATGTTTGTATTCATTTTTGTAGACATCTCTGTGTAGTGATGAACAAGTGCTTCACTTAACAGCGCTTTTCAATCAGTAAATTACAAGTCGGGACAACCCTCTCATCAAACAACTCACTGACGACTAACTTCTCAAATATAGATAAATACAATCACATAATAAACTAAACATTTTTAGACATCATATTGTAGTGAATGTCTCGAAAGACATTTATAATTTGTTTTCATTTATTACTATTGATTCAATACATTTGACAAAATGTTGTGTGAAATCTTTTATCTAAAGTTAATTTTGTAGTTAATTTTATTTAAAAATACAAAAACAAATAAAATTATATTATTATCATTTAATCTTTTAAGTTTTATTTTAGATAAATTATACTAACATTAAAACAACATGATTTAATTAAATGTTTAAATTTAATGTAGACTAGTATTATCAAAACACATAATACTATTTTTATGACTATCAATATTATTTTTAACAAACAATTTATCAAATATTAAAAGTAATTGAATTATAAGCATAATTTAGTTGGTTTCCATCGATAAATAACTACAATTTAACTTAATGTCTAAATTACTTATCATTGCGTATATATTTTCAATAATCATTTGAAGATTAAAGTCAACAAATCGTTAAGAGAAGAGATGTCCTAAAATAGATGACTCATTGCCTACTTTATAAAAATTCAAATTTTTTTTATTTGCCTTTTCGTTGCATTATATTATATCATATAAGTCTCAATCTTCCTGTCGGTGTCCCTCACATAACAACTTAAATATTTCAACGCTAAAACTTAAGACTATTTAAAAGACATAAAAAAATTCACTTTGTATTTGACTTACAAAACAATAAACAAAATGAATTAATATTTTTGTTACTTAACTTTAAAATTAATATTACTGATGTTTATAAAATAATTAATATTACTTCATATAAGTTCATAAATACTAATGTTTATATAATATTGTATTTGAAACCAATTGCAATATATTATTTTTTCAATTTTTTAGTTTTTGTGTATAAATTATATTTTTAAAAGTATTTTTATCGCCAAATTTCAATTTATTATATTAACCCAAAAGCCGACAATATTATTGCTTTTGCATTATATTATATTTTCTAGTGTATGTATATGTGTGTGTGTGTGTGTGTGTGTGTGTGGCGTCCGTTTTATTTGGTTTGTTAAACAATTGATAAAATATGATATTTATTACTATTTTAATAGAAATGATAAAATCGGGAGTGAATGGGGACTGTATTGTATGGTTTTGATGTATGATAATAGAGTGTGAGAGACAAGTAAATCGACAATATATGAGAGATAGAGAGTCTATGTTTAAATGTAAGGCCCAGAAGAGTATCTGTTAAATGGCTAAACATTAGTAAAACATTCAAAAGACTAACACATATATAATCCCCAAATGACTGTCTTTCTTAATAAAGTTGTACCACTTTTTATAGTGGGAAAGGTATTTGACGCCAAACACATGCACTTACATAATACGGATGATGCCAGTGATGGTTAGGGCTTAACTGTTTGTCTAATTTCTCCCGAGAATTACATCCAAACAATAGATGAAAGATTTGGTTGCGATCAGAGCCGACAGCTCTAGTGATCCCTTGACTCTGATAACTGTGCTCTCAATGCTCACTATATTTGCTATGTTTTCATATTTAGCCTCACATTCAATGCATCGCTTAATGTTAGGGCAAACACAGCAATTAGTTTTCATAAAAATACACTCAATATAGTTGTTATACTATTATATACATTGTGTTTATTACTATAACTTGTAAGTGCTTTTGCCGTAAATGAAAATTAATAACTAATTCAATGAACACTCAGATGAATGACTTAAATGACTGCAATGTGTTATAACTTAATGTATTAAATACGACTATAAAGTAAAACACAGACTTTAGTCATAAAATGAAACAAAAGTGTTTCAAACAAATTATACATATTTTATATAAAAAATATTATACTGTATATTAAGTTAATATTATTAACAATGAATTAAATTTATTACTTTTATTACAGTACTTATAATCATTGATTTGCAATTAACATAAATTAATATTGTCATTACAAATATAGTGCAATGCATTAAACTACTGTAAAATAACAAACAATTTTACATATATTTCAAGAAAATTAATTTCTCTGTAATAATATATCGATTAATTCAATTTGTAAATAAATGTATTTTTATTTTTTGCTAATTTATCGCAATATTAGTTAAAATGTTATATTCTATACATATAGTTATTAGATGTGTAAACTAATTTTACCGGATAATACAATTGTGAAATTGTAATGCAATAGCAAAATATAATATTTATCATATCATACATGTAATTATCAATATTAATAAAAATATTTAATACATTTCTATACAAAAATTTAATCAATTATTAAATAATCTTATAGTAATTATAATACATCATATAATTATATATTGATTGAATATATAATTTTAAAATGATATTGTATTAATAATATAGTTTTGTTTTAATTAAAATTAATTTTATGATACAATGCTAGACAATAAAAATGTTATTCAAATATCTGATTTCCGGCGTCTTATACCTGATCTGTTAACTCTAAACTTTATAATTTATATATATTTAAAACATAATACAATCATACTTTCCATTAATTTTCATTACTAAATATACTATGTTTTTATAGTAACGTGAAAACTACTTTTACATTTCCGCCAAAATCTGTTAACTTTATTGAAAGTGAGTCCAACTTATGATTTGTAAATTTAATTCAAATATTATATTATAGTCTAAATTAATACAATAGACATCTATTGTATTGAAATGATTTCAATTGTAATATCAATGATAACTAACTGAATGTCATCACTGCTGTCACCTATAGTTCAAACATTTGATAACATAAAGCAATAATTGATACTATTTTGTAAATAACAATATTTTCATACTATTTGTGAACATAAGCCCATAGAGTGCACACATAAAAAGGTACAAAATTGGAGTTTTGTTATCAAACAGTAATTACTTTCAAACGTGTTATTGATTTTAGTGTTGATTTGATTGTCATCTGAGATGTCGAGTGAAGACATTGTCGAAGTGTTGGTCCAATTGAGCGGAGGAACTGAACTACTGTTTGGTAATACAAGACAACTAACCATCAAATTAGACAAAATTGCGGACAAGAGATGCGATTTACAGCAATTGATTGATTGCCTGAAGACCGACCATCTGAAGGAAAGACCCGAACTGTTTGTCATCGGAAACACCGTTAGGCCAGGGATTCTGGTTTTGGTCAATGATGTCGATTGGGAACTGTTAGGTCAACTACAATACCAACTCAAACACAACGATAGAGTGCTCTTCATATCGACTCTTCACGGAGGATGACCTCAACAGTCGTAACATTTTTTAGTGATAATATCAACAATTATTTGACACCAATTGTATCACTAATTAGTTTACAATATTTTCTTGTATTATATTATTTCACAAATTTTATTATATTTTTGATTTCAAAAAAAAATTTAATTATCAAATAAAAGCATTGAATTTAAATAATATTTTTTTTAAAAACTATTTATGATAAGTGTTTAAAATGTTATTATATTTTAAAAATAAATATTTTTTATTATTTACTTATGAAAATAATATATTCAATTATAGTAAAAATACAATGTTTTTGAATGCAATTGAATTGAATTACTAAAAATATAATTTATAAACTTTTCAATTATAAAACTGTAATATATTGTCAAATTGTTTAGTGAATTCAAAAATGTTTAATATGAATGTTTAGCGCTGATGGGGTTAAGGGTAAAGGTAGGGGTAGGGGTAGGGGTAGGGGTAGGGGTAGGGGTAGGGGTAGGGGTAGGGGTAGGGGTAGGGGTAGGGGTAGGGGTAGGGGTAGGGGTAGGGGTAGGGGTAGGGGTAGGGGTAGTGATGTGGATTACCTCTAACCAGAAACCAAGATTTAGGACATTAAAAATGAAAATAAATTGACCCATTTAAGGCATTGCCTTAACTGCGGTGAGACATGGGAAGCTTGCGGTCAGTAATTATCTCGAGAACCGATGGTCAGATCTTGCGGTCAGACATATAAAAGTTATAGAGAATAAAAAGTTAGGAACTAAGGTTGACCTTAAAAAATTTTAGGTTCACCAGGGGACACACAAAAAAAATAAAACATGAAAATTTTGTACTAAAAAACCGCGGTCAGTGAATATCTGGAAAACCATTGGTCAGATCTTGCGGTCAAACATATAAAAGTTGTAGAGAATAAAAAGTAAAAAAATGGTTTAATTAAAAAAAATTTAGATTCATCAGGAGGCGCAAGAAAATATTAAAACATGTAAATTTTGTATTAAAAAAGCTGCGGTCAGTAATTATCTCAAGAACTAGTGGTCAGATCTTGCGGTCAAACATATAAAAGTTTTAGACAATAAAAAAATAGAAACTATGGTCTACTTGAAAAAATTTTAGTTCAACCAGGATTTCAACAAAAAAAACATTTTTATTTGACAAAATGGTATTCAGTGATTATCTAAAAAACTAGTGGTCAGATCTTGCGGTCAAACATATAAAAGTTGTAGAGAATAAAAAGTAAAACAATGGTTTAATTAAAAAAAATTAGGTTCACCAGGGGGCGCAAGAAAATATTAAAACATGTAAATTTTGTACTAAAAAAGTGGCGGTCAGTAATTATCTCGAAAACTAGAAGTCAGATATTCCGGTCAAACATATAAAAATTATAGAAAATAAAAAGATAGAAACTATAGTTCACTTATAAAAATTCTAGGCCAACTAGGGGTTCCACAAAAAAATTAAAACATTTTTTATTAAAAAAATGGCATTCAATAAATATTTGAAAAACCAGTGGTCAGATCTTGCGGTCAAACATAAGTTATAAAAAATAAAAAGATAGAAACTATAGTTCATTTATAAAAATTCTAAGAGAACCAGGTGACCTACAAAAAAATAAAACAAAAATTTTGTATTAAAAAAATATTGATCAGTGTTTATCTGAAAAACTAGTAGCCAGATCTTTCGGTCAAACCTTTAAAAGTTTTAAAAAATTTAAAAGTAAGAACAATAATTTAATTTTTTTTGGAACCTCACAAAAAATAAAACCTATATTTTTATTTAATAAAAAAATGTTATATTTTTATGGGTTTCCTGGTAGACCAAAAATTATTTTTATTAACCATTTTATTAATTTATAATTGTTTACAACTTTTATATTTTTGATCGCAAGATCTGACCACTGTTTTTAAAATACTCACTGACCTCAACTTTTTAATAAAAAAGTTAATTTTTTTGTGAATCCCTTAGTTGGCCTAGAATTTTTATAAGTGAACTATAGTTTCTATCTTTTTATTTTCTATAATTTTCATATATTTGACCGCAAGATCTGACTACTAGTTTTCGAGATAATTACTGACCGCCACTTTTTTAGTACAAAGTTTTTGTTTTATTTTTTTTGTGGGTCCCCTGGTTTATCTAAAATATTTTAATGTTAACTTTAGTTTCTAACTTTTTATTCTCTATAACTTTTATATGTTTGACCGCAAGATCTGACAACTGGGTTTTCAGATATTTATCGAATACCATTTTTAAATTGATTTTTTAAAATTTTTTCGTTTGCTTCCTGGGGGTTCTTAAATTTTTTCAAGTGAACTATAATTTCTATTTTTTCATTGTCTACAACTTTTATATGCCTGACCGCAAGATCTGACCACTAGTTCTCGAGATAATTATTGACCGCTGCTTTTTTAATACAAAATTTACGTTTTAATATTTTTTTGCGCCTCCTGATGGACCTAAATTTTTTTAAACTCTTAATTCTCTACAACTTTTATATGTTTGACCGCAAGATCTGATCACTGGTTTTCAAGATATTTACTGAATACCATTTTTTCATAGATTTTTTTAAAATTCTTTTGTGGGCCTACTGGGGGTTTTTAAATGTTTTTAAATGTACCATAGTTTCTATTTTTTTATTGTCTAAAACTTTTATGTTTGACCGCAAGATCTGACAAATGGTTTTCCAGATATTCACTGACCGCCGCTTTTTTAGTACAAAATTTTCATGTTTTATTTTTTTGTGTGTCCCCTGGTGAACCTAAAATTTTTTAAGGTCAACCTTAGTTCCTAACTTTTTATTCTCTATAAGTTAGAACATCTTTAACTAATGAAAATTTAGAGTATTTTTTATTTGTAACATATAATCAATTTTTATATCAATAATAAAATTATAAATTTTTTTGACAAAACTTATTTGGTACTCTTAATACCTTTTGATTTCAATAGAGATAACGAATATTGAGGCTCTATTTATAACTTTTATATGTCTGACCGCAAGATCTGACCATCGGTTCTCGAGATAATTACTGACCTCAAGCTTCCCATGTCTCACCGCAGTTAAGGCAATGCCCGCATTTAAGTTTTACATAATTTTAAAAATGACAATTTTTAGTATTAAATGTTAATTAATTTCTATAATAATAATATTAGTTATAAACTATTTGTCTATAAAAATTAATTATATTACAATCAAAGTATAATTTTAAGATAATGTGATCGACATATAATTATGGAGAAAAAGTTTTGAGTACCTCTGTATATATATATATATTATATATTATTTTGAATTCAAACAATACTATATGACGTCAAAATTTTCACTCAAATTTAATGTCTGATTGTACAGTAATATAGTACACTAATAGAGACATACATTATACATGTATTTTGCTTATAATGTCATTATATAAGTGTAGACAATGTTAATTGAATTGCAAATTAAAATATTGTATAAAATTATAATATAATTGTATTATTGTATTATAATTTAATATAAAATATGTATTATTATTCACTACAATCATATTGTATACAGTTTTTGTGTTGTTTAAATTAATATTTATTGTATAGTATTTATAAAATATTATAATATACAGTAAATTACAATATCATAACTTATGGTCCATAAAATACTTTATAAAATATTATGAATCTATAAATCAAGAGTCAGTTTATATATATATATATATATGTGTTAGAGAGAGACCTTTGAGAGCAAATCTATTATTAGCTTTAGTTATATTTAAAAACATTAGATAAATGTAGAGAATTTAATACATTAAAACTAATATAAAAAATTAAAACAAAATGTAAAACTATATAAAACATTGGTTTAGTTATTCTGAATTTTATGAGACATCTCGAAATGGTTTACATGTATTAGAAAACATAATAAGCGTTTGAAATGTTTGATAATTTTTATTTTAACAATTGTATAAATTTATATAATTAGTTTAATATTGATATGAGAAATTGTAATGATTATAAAAAATTATTAACAATTTAAAATTTTATTATAAATACAACTCTGTTATGTATTTATTGCATTTTTGCTAAATAAAGATTATTATTAAATAACGTATAAAAGTTAATAAAATAATCTATAGTTAGACCAAAGTATGCATTTGATGGCAGCACTGCTTTCAATTCATACATATTTTTCTGATAGTTTTATAAAAATATTAATAAATTTTTAGTCTATTTATTTAACTTTTATAAAATTTATAAAATTATAATTAGAATTATTAGACTAATAAACTAAAAACATAAATTTCAAACATTTATAACGGGTGGCTCATCAAGAGTTATTTTCAAAATACACCATTTATTTCAAAAATTATTAATTGAAATTTATTTTAAAAATATATATCTTATTTATGAATAAATGGGATTTCATATTTTAATAAATAAAATTTTTAAATTGGCGCCATTTTATGGCAATAAATTTACAAAGTTGCAAGTCAATTTTTTTCGAAACTTTTCTAGCATATTCTATAGAATATTTGTGTAGTTTTTCACGAAAAAGTTATACTATATATTTTTAATAAAATTTTAATTATTGTTAAAAATACATTTAGTTTCTTAAACATTATCATTAAAACTAGAAAGAACTTAAAAAATTTTAATTAATAATAAAATTTAAAATTTTGTAAATTATAATATTTTTAAAAATTCATAACTAAACATTGGCTTAATTTTTAACAAATTTTTTTCTATTTAACAAACAAGTATCTATATCCATTTACACTGACATGATAACCAAAATTTTTTAAATAAAATATTTATACTTATTTAACTTTTAGTATAATTTTAGTTATGTTATGTACAGCCGCAATTTTGATTTTTTAAAATTTATTTTTTAAAAATAATAAACGCCAACTACCCCACACTAAATCTACATTAAAATATTTTTGCTTTTATTTAAAGTATAGAAATAGCGCTATTTTTAAAATGATAATAGGTGTTAGGCCAGTCGTTATATACTTTAATTAACATTAATAACTATTATTCATTTTTTTTTAAATTAGTAGTACTGTACTTGCTTAGATATAGTATTTAAAATATATTAAATTAAT